GCAAAAAGGCAAAGGCATGGGAGATGAAGAATGTGAAGAGAGCAACACGTATGAGCCGCCAATGCGAAGGGAACAAGATGCTCACTGCATGAGTCATGACCTTTTTCCAAAAAGGTTCTGATTGGATCCAGGGATTTCTTTCAACTCAATGCATCGAAAGTGCCCCTGTCTCAAGTCTCGGGTCGGAGGACCTTCCAGCGGAACATGCGGAACACACGAGCGAAGCGAAGGTCGGAAGGCCGGCCGTCCTCTGGCATCTCCTCCCCCGAGAGATTCAGCACGCCGGTCGCCAGGCACTGCGATCCGGCCCAGCGGGACGTTGGTGCGATCCGTTGGTCGATCCGGTGAAGCCGCCGGGGGGGAAGCTGATTGGCGAGCTGATTCCGTGCTTCTGTGCGACAGGCTCACGGAGCTTAGGGCAGGGCAGTTTCTGAGGCTGGAAGTGGCACGTCACTTGACACGTCTGAAGCGTTTGACACTCGGAATCCTCATGGGCCCGGCCGTGGATGGCCCCGAGGACTCGAAGGACCACGAGCTCTCCGAATACTAAAGCAGGTAGTGAGAGTTCACACACTCCGCGTCTGTGGATGATTCTTAGGAGTCGACTAGTTGTCTTGCTAGTGGATCTCTGCCCTGTAGATGGCCACCCTGTCCCCGGTCGGCTCGCCCAGGTCTTATCTCTTATGTCCAGCTTTGTGCATCTGAGACGAACGAACGAAGTAACGAACGAACGGCGAGTGCTTTGCGTTTGGGGAAGATGTGCACGTCCAATCTTACCAACTCCTGGCTTGTGATGTCCTTCTTCCAGTCTACATCTTTTTCCTCCACATGATGTGGGTGCTTGGGCACCATGTAACACAAACACTAGCACAAACAGTCGCAGTCTTTCAGCAATCTTCAAGACTCTTCCACTTTTCCCAGGTGGCGGCCATTGGCGGCCTGGTCTAATAAGCGGATGCACTTGAGGGCTGTCTCTTTGGAGCCACAGGTCTTCATCAAGCCTCGCTTTTTGGATCTTCACTCGAAGCACGGCAACAGAAGCGCGCGAGCTGGCGGGGTTGGCCAGTTGGAATTGGTGCACCGCCGGTGCTCGATCCGTATTGGGTGCTTCTGTAAGTTTACACCAGCACTGGGTGATCTCGAGTTTCGAGGTAATATGGAATTGAATTGGATTTGCTGCTCGGTGGGGGCCCAAGAAAGGAACACATGATGAAAGCTTGGACGTCTTCTAGGGGCTGCAATCAAATGGACCATAAAGGAAAGGTGATGCCTCTGAACTATAAACATCACTAAACATCGACACACAGCCAGCTTTTGAATGGCTGCTGCCAATGATGTGGAGCCGAACTAGCCACCCAAACTGCTGGAGCACACTCCCACTCCCACAAATCATCCATTGAAGTGGAGTGAGTGAAAACCACCTGTCTGGTTAGGTTTGGTATTCGGAACAAATCATCCGAATCCACATTGGCCCATGATGATTCCAGGGAGTGTCGTGTACTAGTAGCTCCTGGCATTACTAGTAGGAAATAACTATCAGGGAATCCAAATGTGCACGTTCGCACAAAAAATCCGTGCATCCGGCCTTTTTTGTCAAATGGACAAAATTTCTGGAATTCCTCCGAATATTGGGTTTGATTTGGTTTTATCAATATAATTGTTTGGGCTTTTGTCGATAAAATGTTGATAAAGTTTGGGTTTCATATGGGTACGCTTTCGTACGGTATTGTTTTTTTTGTCCATACGGCTAAATACGCGAATTCGTTAATTAAAATGTCCATACGATAAATTCTGTCCAAATACGGCCTTCGCATCAAAAAAAGTGTTCATACGCCTTTCCAGGTACTACCAATAATGACTATTAATGCCCTTGTTACGTTCGTAGCACAGGTCGCCCATCTCACACATTTGAAGGTCCATGATGTCGAACCCATCCACTTCGAACGTCCCTGTGGTGATTGGGGGGAACGTCCCTGCGGCGAGAAAGAACGGGAGAAGAACGGGTGTCCACTGCGACAACCTCCTCGATACAGAAGGGCATTAGCTGTGCATCTAACCACCCAATAACGGTGTCCCCTATGGGTCTCCCAATCTGTTTGGAGTGGATGGGGCGGGTGTTGGAACCCGAACGAATAGGGCCAGGACCAACCGACTCTTAGGAGGGACTTCTTCACAGAACCTGCATCCTACACCTGGGAAGAGACCCTCATGGAACCTGAAAATATGGACCTTTGGAAGAGTAGCTTCTTCCACAAACCGAGTGGTTTTCAGCTTCCATGTGAGTCTCTTCCAGGGCGTATGCCCATCATATCGCAAAGTGAATCAGGTCTTCCAGGTTTTGTGCCCGCCTCTGGTCAATGTTTGTGTCCCATGCTGAGTCTGGTGACCAGCTCTTCCCAAGAGTTCTAGTTTTAAAAGATTCAATTAAACACAGTGAGGTGAGTCTGGTGAAACAAGGTCCTCCGGACCCTTCAAGGTTCCATCCAACAGGGCTCCAGGCTCACATCCTCCAAGACCTCCTCATCAGGGAGCTCCTCATCACTTATGCCCCACTGGGGGCAGAAGTGCACGGTGAAGTTTTCGGGTTATTTTTTGGTGTTTGGTTTAATCTGCTCTGGCTGTTGCGTGAATTGAAAATGTAATTTTGCTCTTGCACTTCTAAAGGTTTCTCTGGTGGCTTGAAGGCGCTTGATCTTCCAGCTGCTATGAGAGGCGTTGTTTCAAAGTTGCTTATTTGTGTTTGATTTCTTGGCATGTGGACGCGGCGCGGCTTTAGGGGCAATTGGTCGGCCCTACATTCTGGCGCAGCCCCCACCTTTTGAGCAGCCTGTTGGTTGGGGAGGTGCTCAGGGCTGGTGACCTGACGGCACAAAGTTTGTTGGCATTTGGATTGAAATTGTCAACGCAACACACGCAACAAGAGTTGCCACACGCGCAATGGCGTTGAATGCCAATGCTTCATACTCATGTTCAGGGGCTGCCTACCCACAAGTTGAAAATACAATGATTCCTGGACAGCCTTGGAACCAAAACGACTCAGGATTTGTAACCAAACTGGTTCTTCCTGGATAGGCAGCCACGTGGCGAAACTTGAGCTGGATCTGCTTTAGTTCTATGCACGGCCCTGTTGTTGGGCAAGTAATTTTCAAAAATCTATCCTGCTTGCCTAAACTTGGGTCACCCAAGATGCACATGTTTGAAAGCACGTTGGGCGTTTGCTTGCTTGCAAAGAATGCCGGTGAAAACTGCAAGCACGCCAAGTGGAGGTCGAAGCACAGAGGGCAGCTGTCTTTGCAATTTGTAGAAATGTGACAGGTACTGTACAAGTGGGACGACGTAGCCAACAGCACACCTTGGAAAGGAAAGTGGTTGACTCCCAAACTTGCCACGCTCTCAGGCCGTCGGGCTGAGGCTTGTTGTCGCTTCGTTGACTGGCTCCCTACCTGACTTCAACGTGCATGTTTAGAAGGAGCATGCATACAGTTTATGCATTTTGATCCTGGCAATTCTACATCTTGAGCTTGGCAAGCTGGAACTGCCGCACGCACTAGGTGCATATCTAGACTCACTTGGCTTGCGACACCTGTGTGTGACTTGAGAACACTTGACTGAGAAACTCTGGCCACGTGAGTGACATAGAACCTGATCCTGAAGTAGAACGCCTCAAAAGCTCTCGAGCAAGGTTGCAAACCTAGCTTCGTTGCAAGAAAGTGTTGGCGAAACATCCCACAGCAGAGTCAATACCTGCGGGACCTGACGTCAACTGTGCCTTGGGCTCTTGCACCCCTGTGCGTGAAGATGCGTTCGGCACATACACAATGGGTGCGCGTGAACGGCGGCGCTGCGCAAAAGGAAAGCGGTGCAGCTTTAGAAGAGGACTTGCTCAAGAGCAATTGGGGCAAAAGGTCATGGCGCAGGTGGGGAGGCACACCCTTTAGTTTTCAACGTGCTGTGCAGGCCCCACCAACAAAAACAACCCGTGCCACGTGTGAGAAACATCCTTGACAGAGTGCAGTTTCAACGGAAGGTGCAAATCAGCAGCAGCAGCAGCAGCAGGAGGAGGAGGAGTAGTAGTAGTAGTGGTAGTAGTAAAGGAAAGTCAACTGGAAGGAACACAAACCAAGAATAGCATTAAAACACATTGTTTAAGAGGGTCAAAAAAGAAGAATAAAAAAACAAAAACAACATTTCACTGTAACTTCGTTCTGCGAAAAAATAGCTCTAACATCACGGTGATTCCGAAAAACCGTGTGACAGCCGCCAGGCGGCGACTGTGATGGCACCGATTGGCCAGGTGATCCGAGTGCCTCCTGTTGAGATCAATATGGAAACAAGGCAGATTGCATTTTTTGTTTGGTGATGCGTTGATTTATTTTTGCATCTTAATTTTGATTTTGTTAATGTCTGTTATATAATTGTTGATATATGTTTTTTCACATGGATTCTTAAAGTGTTCTTTTCAGGGCTTTTTTGGCTTCGCTCGTCACACCTCACCGTCTCAACTGTTGGTGTGACAACCCCGTTTCCGTAAAGAATCCAACTTCATATATGAGTAAGGGACAAAGTCGATGGTTTGGGTCTATCCTATTATCTGTAACAGTGGATGATGATGGTTAGTAAAGGCCTTGTCCAAAAATAGTGATTTGCTTGTTTACTGACTGTTACAGTACTAGGACAGACCCAATCTATGGTTATATAGGATAGGATATGTTACTGGCACCCGTTGGGGAAGAACCCAATGGTCGGCCCCCCCTTGTCCGAGATACAGGCGAAAGGAACCGGTGGGCCCAAGGATGTTGTCCAACCCTCGTATCAATACAACATACTATAGCTTCTTGTCCCTAGTAGCGTCTTTGTTACTAGTAGCACGGCCAGGAGCAGCCCCCCCGTTCGTAGCGTCCTTGCTCACCTTCGAAGCCAACCATGAAACTTCCACATGCCGCATGCCTCCACCAAAATAGCTGAGACCCTGCAGAAAGAGCCTCGGAAAAGGTTGAACCTTACTGGGTCTGTTGACGGATGTTCCAGTCGAATAATGACGGTGGTTGAGCATAGGAAGATTCTCTCCCCGCGGAGCATGCTGAGCGCTCCTTCACCTTGGGGCGCTCTGGCGTTGACGCCTTTTCCGCAGCGCCACCATTGAGAGCATCATCCACTGGCATCCTTGGGCACCGCACTAGGTGCAAAGCTGCTTGGCCGAAGGTGGTCTTAGGTCATTTGACAAGCTTTGTTTCCTCATGTGGGAAGGTATATAGTCAGGGTTGGCTTGAGAAAAGACCGATGCAAATGTCTATGACATTGACAGATTTGGAAGGAGTCCAAGCTCGTTCTCACAGGTACCAGGTACAGGTAGCTCTTCCGAGTCAACCTTTGGTAGTAAAGCTTCGGCTTGTTCAGACTTGAAGCCTTCCAGGACCCTCCGGGGAACCTCCCGGTCCCACAGTTGCTTCAGTTCGTCAGGTCCCACGGTCACACGGACCAAGGTCAGATCCTCAAACGGCCGAACACGCGAAAATGGACACCCGCAACGGTGAAGACGAACCATGTGTGGTGACTCCTCCAATTCAAAGAACGACCACATCCCTATGTCGCATCCTGGGACTTTCCATGTTGTAATATGGTTGACATTTGGTGGTTCTTGGTACATGGCCCACATGGAGCGTTTGGGGTATATGAAGGGCCCTGAATGCACCCCAATGTAGGTAAATCAATCCGATGAAATACGGCATACATATGGATCATACACATGAAGCCCTTTGGGCATGCAAGGAAAGCCCTGCCAACGTACCCGGACCCGACCGCGACCGCCTGCACGCCCAGCGACACCGATGGGCGGGACAAACCGCGCTCCACACGCCCGTCGATGCTTAGAGGAACACGGGCGAGGCATGGGGTGTCGACGGGGCGAGTCGAGACCGATGTGGTTCGTGCCCTGCGCATCGTGTCCTGCGCATCGAAACTGACACCTGCCACGCATCCAAGACTCATGTGCGGTCGAGAAATCGTCCTGACTGTCAAGTGAGGTGTGTTGGTATGTGTTGGTGGCGGTGAGAACTCTTCTGGTTGACTTGACTTCACTGGTTCTATAGAAGTGGATGACCCTAAACCGCAAATCACGTTGAACGGACAGTCTATGGGAAAGAGCTTCCACTAAGCCATCTTTCCTGGCTTCAAATTTTAGGACAGAACACGGCAGAATTCATAGCAAGTGCCTTCATCACTGGGACCTGCCATCAGCCAACAACCAATCTCCTCGAACGTGTGTTCCCCAACTCGAGAACTGGCTCCTGTCTCTGAAGCATCTGGGTCTGGACTCCAGTGGTCCTACTAAACTCCCAAGGTAACGCAAGAAATCCATGATACTCCCCCAGGCTAACATACGGGCCGTCTACAATTGAACACGAGATCTGTGCATCTCAGGATCCTCTTCCAGCCACTTCGCCCTCTTTGAACCGACCCGGTGCAAGGCACTCCGCGACGCTTTTTCTTCGCGATCGGGACGCTTCACTCGGCCATGGTCTTGGTCTTCATCAGGATCAGTCCTGGGCATTCCACGGCTGCAGTGGCGCAGCCACTGGCGGCAGCAGTATGCTGCAGCCGTGGCAGTAGTATGCTGCAGTCACATGTTCCTGCTACGATTTTGCAAACATCTTCAAAATACATACCCGGCTTTACAAACTATCGATGGAGGAAAGCTGTCTGATTCCATAGCTGATGGTCTTTGGATGTCTTTGGGATTATCCGGCACGGTGTAAACAGTGCCGTGCTTTTGGACCTCAAATCGATTCAAAACGAATGATGCCTGGCTCTTTCTCAGCACCATGAAGAAGGACCGCAAATATGTTGATCTCCTTTGGCAGTATTGTGGACCAAGGCGCCATGGAGGGAGGCGTTCCCCCCCGAACTTGGGCCTCAAGAAGTACCTGCCAAGTGTTCCTGTTTGGTCTGTTGGGAGGATGCAGGGTTGTTGGGAGGTGCAAACATGCCTCTTAGTTTGGCTGTAGGGGACCGTTTGGGACCCTCAATGATGTAAACATGGGACCTTAACTTGGAATTTGGAACCACTGAGAAATGGACGTCTTCACTTGGTGGTTGAAACCATGTTTCAACGGTTTCCTTTTTCACGTGTCCTCTGCAAGATTTTTAGCTAATCCACACCCCTTGGCACTAGTGCAATTTAAAGCCTGTATGATCTGTCTCTCGTTGCACCTTTTAAGGATTCACCAATTTTTGCTCCTGCGCGTGGTGCAACAATTGCTGTACTTCCCTAAGGCCCACGGCTGTTCCACCAGTTCCAAGTGGTCCAAGGCCGTCCTAAGATATCTTAGATCATGTTAGGACGGCCTAAGGAATCTGACTTCATATCCCAGACACTCCATGGGACTGCGATGCCGCCCCATTGACCCCTCCCAACCACCACCCCGACGGCCCTTTTTCGGCAGTCCGATGGCAGTCCATAGGAATCTGTCGGCATATTTGCGAATCACATTCCGTCTCGTCACGGATCCGCATCGCTCTTCACATCCCGAAGGCGCTCGTCACCTCACTCGTCCACCGGTTTGACCACCCGCCTGCCGATGCCCTTCTCGTAGTCCCAGAGCGCTTCCAGGGTGCCCGGTCGGGGGCCTCCATCGTCGAGGGGTGGTGGAAACGTGGCATCCTCCATGGGCAAACGCTACAACATCGTGGAGAGGAAACTGGAAAACAGTTGTGAAACAACTTGAGAGCTGAGGCTTTGAAACACATCAAGTCCGTGGCACATCCAGCCCCAAAACCCAACAAAGCAGGCATACGACCCCTGATGCCGACCCACCGGGTGTGTCCGCCCAGCACCTCCGGCCGTCCAGTAGCACTTCCCCGAGTCGGTGACCAACATATGGGTCCCCCAGGGGTAAGGCTTGATGACCTGCGCTCGCATCCGTCGGACAGAGAGGGAAAACCAATTCGCGGAGGAGATGGACCGTTGGGACAGCTGGGAAACTGTTGGGAGTCAGCGGCGTCCAGATGAAGCATTGAACCACCAGGGTTGGCATTCTCAATGTCCACAGCTGCCTTTTGCCCCCGGTGACCTGTTGCTTGACAGGCATCTGGACAGCAGGCCGTGCAGACCTGGCCTAATTGATTCTTTGCATTTGTATACAATTGCCGCCATTCAGTTGAGGGATGTTGAGGGAGCGTTCATCTGCCTCATTCTGAGGGCAACTTCAGTTGCTGCCGCCAAAAAAAACTGTTGCGTGTTATGACACAGCGAAACCAGCGACTTGCGCAGGGCGTGACTGGATCTAAATGACCTATATAGACCAATCGCTGATCAGGTCGTTTCTTCTGGCCGTCGTGCGCAGGGCGTTTCTTGTGGGGGGTTTCTGCAGGCATGCACCTCAGCCACCACCTTCTCGTTAGGCTCCGCGAGTTCCCAGCCAGAGGGCAGGGATTTCCACTTCCTTGGGGCGGATGGAGGGAAGTGAGCAATCTCAGTCCAAACGTGATCAAAGGCAATCTTGCACACAAAGAACAAATCCTGGCCACCTGTCCAAACAGGTCGAAAATGGTTCACTTTAAGATGCTTGAAGGGTCCTAAATTTGATCAATAAATCCTGAAAAATGGTAGTATTGTCACACTGTACACTCGGAGGGGTATCCCATGGTATCCCGTTCTATTCATCAAAAAAACAGAGCGCAACTGCCCTGAAACCGTACAGCATCCAAGCATCGTCACAGACTCGTCAGTGCGTGTCTTGTGATTGTAGCGTTCCTGGCAGCCAAGATGCCAGGAATTGCGACAAACATCATCAACATAGCACCATCAAGCACCCCCTCCACGGGGTCTGAAAACAAGAAGCCCTGTCCAAGAGGAACATACCATCCGCCGTACCAAACCGTGCCCAAAACATCTAACTTCTCAGCGCTGTGCCCCGGCACGGTGCATGGAGCGACTTCGCCAAGCAGCAGGTGGCTCGTGAGACCAGGGTGGCAAAGCGTAAGGGCTCGAGAACTCCAAAGTAGCATAGAGATAGCCGTCCTGAGATGGAGACCAACTCATCCCAAAGCCATCTGAGAGACTTTTTGGGGGTCTGATCATGTCTGATCTTTCTATAGTTTTCTCATGTCTCCGTCCATCCCTCAGTTTTGACGTTTTGGTTGGTCTCAAAGACTTGGGAACCGATTTCGATCAGTCGGAAGCCTCCAAGCTCCTAAGCCATCTACACCAAGAACCAAGAGCCAGCATGCCCTTCAGTTAGGCTGAACATCCCACTGGCCAAGCCCCAAGAGTGGCGTTGATGGCGTGAATGGCGTGAACATGTCCGTTCTTTTGCGCCATGTTGGCCCCTCCTACGACTCACCCTTTGATCAACATGCAGCATTCCATCATCCAAGCAACAGGACATATACTTATTGCACACCACAAATGGTACCAATCAGGCAGAACCTTCTTCCAACAAATTCAATGCAGCTCCGGTGGTGATTCAATCCCAAAGCGAGTGGCTCATGAGCACTGCGCACCTCCTATGCGATCCGCTGGATGACTGCCTCATCTTTCATGTCGTCCCCTACTTCCTCTCTCCACCCTTGGACCCCACACCGACCGGCCCTTCCGAACAGGGCACGCAAGGAATGGACTTCGATCGCTGCTCCTCCGTCACCGCGAAGGGCTTCCGGAAGGGGTTCGTGTCCTCCGGTCTCGGACTGCAGGAGCGCCCCCGCAGTCCGAACACCCGCGGCACCGGCTCTTCGATCGCCCGCCTGGCAGCTTGCGTCGGTCGTTGGAGAGAATTGCGCCGGGCTTTTCTTCTTTACAAGACGCAGCTTCGGGGGTTTGGCATCTCATGTGCTTTATGGATGTTTCTGGTACGACAAGGGTGAGGGCACCTGACACCTCTGTGTCATAGTCCCATTCATCGGGGATTTCCATGATCTCAGGTTTGAACATGAAGCTCTGCGATCCAAGTTTTCACAGTTATATACTCAGTTCTCCCGCGGCTCACGCATTCCAGCCGATCAGCTTTAGGTGTGCCTTTTTCAAAACCACCGCTTTCCTCTTGGCGCATTCCTGCAACATACACCAATTGTTCCATGATATTTTATCTTGTAAACACCCCAAGCTGAGAACATCTGAGAACAAGCCCCACTGCCCGGCAGCACAGCACCAAACGTGTCGCATGGACGGAGCAGCACGCCGCACTAACGGCTCGCGGCCATCGTGGCCGCGGGCGTTTTTCCCGCGGCTCCGGCTGCGGCTCTCCTGAGGGAAGGGCTGAGCGAAGGAAGCCCCCCGACCCGACTGGAAAGCTAGACCAGCAGTTCCCATGGAGTGGGGGTGCCGAACTGGGAGGATAGGGAGAGGGATTCCCATTATTCACTCACATAATAGTGACAAAAAATAATTCCTTTATAAGGAGCTGTTGGTAGAACATGTCCTCACGTACCCTTTGTTGGGGGGTCCACCTGATGTACCTGTACCTCGGCTCGTCGAGAATGCCTCGGGCCAAATGTGTCAGCCCTCTGACATCAAGTGTACGCCTGTACGCAAGATTGCTGCAAGATTGAAACTATAAAGGATGAAGAGGACAAAGGAGGGACTTGGGACTTGGAAGATGATGTTTCCCAGCGACATCGAAGGCCCCCAAATCCAACGAGAGCGATTCGAGCCCACCTTGGTTCGAGCTCTGCTTCGGCTATCCATCCTGTCGCATGAAAGCTCAGTTCTCAGTGTTGTGAGAGTCGGGATGGCATGGGTGAGAAATGGTGTGAACTCAACAGCTCAAAGCAGCACCACCCAAAGGGTTGTTATTGGGTGGAAAATGCATCTTCAGACGATTCAGGCGGGATCTATAAAACACCCGACCTGGGTGGTGCTGGTAGCTCATCATAGCTCCAGGATGCTCCAGGTTGCTCGGTGGAGTGCCACAAGTGGCTCACCAGTGGCGTGCGCCGCTCGCCACGCCGATCGTCTGATCTTCAGACCCCGGCGGCCCCGCAGCGCTCGACCGTTCCGGCCAGAATCGAGTGCATGAAGGACGCCAACCAAAAAAGGACCGTGGAACATGGACGAATCCAAACGAACTGGCTATAGGGAGCTTCTGAATACTATTCCTTCTGACAGCGGCGGACCAAGACCATAGTGGATTCTCCAAGAATAGATGGCACAATCCCCCAAAATGCGGGGTCTATAATTTATTATGGTTTATATGGAGCCCTATATCAAAGACATCTTGGGGTGCCAGTGCCATCTATACTCTCAACCCACTGCAGTTACAGGGGTCCTTCCATTTTTACATAGTACACACCCATCCCCCGTCCTGGGACGGCTGCTGCTGCGCCATCGGGCTTTCTGGTTCCTTGCGGAGAGTGCCGCTCTCGGCTCCGAGCAAACCCAGATCGGAGCTACCACTTAAGGATAAGATTGAATACACAACACGCTAATAAGCATACCATTGAAAGTGTATATTCTGATCTATGATGTATCAATAGACTCGAACACTCGTTTTAGTAAGGTAATCATGTGGCTGATGTTCCTCATGCTGGTTCTTGGCTGATGTTCCTGGGCTTGCTCCTGAACAAATCAATCAATGCCTTACCCTCTCACCCTTCCACTGGCTCGCGCCGTCCTCACGGGTCGCCCCCGCGCGCGGCTTCGACTATCCATCCGGCGCCTCGGCACGGCGGAAAATGCCCCCAAGCGTCAAGTAGCTTGGGCGAAGGCGACAGGAGTCAAGCAGCTTCGGTGAATCTGGTGAAGCCCGGTGAACTGGGTCTTGAGAGTCACACTCTAGGGACCCCAAAAGGGGGTTGGGGGTTCGGATTCCATCAATCTGCCCAAGCCATGATGGGCTGGTGTGATACCATCGAAATCTCTAAGATGCGTCTTATAACAATGACGTATTAATGATCCTAAGTGACTGATGCGCTTCTGCCCAAGACGTAACTCATTCTCAGCTTTTTCACATGATCCGAGTTCTTGGCCCTCCAGGATGCCCACGGTGCATGGGGTCTTCCACCGTTCCTCCAGCCCAAGCGCCCAAGGCGCCGGTCGCCGCTCATGGCGCTGGCTCGGGCCCCGGTGCTCGGTCGCCCGGTGTTGAAGAGTCGATGGGTTGATGACGGTCCAGGTCCATAGGGGTGAATGTGTTGAACCCAGTAACTGTTACTGTTTGGGGCCAAAAGACGGATAGGATTCTGGAGGATCTTGAGAATATCCATCTTAGTTGACTATCAAATGATCAAGGGTTGAAGGATGATGAAGCAAGTGGTGGCGTGAATCCTAACAAAGTTGGGCATGGAAGTCGGTCCATCATCTGGCCCAGCTTTGTTTAGGGCGGGGCCACCTTATAGATGGAACATCAACCGATTGGACCGAAAAAAGAAGGCCATCAACTCGCTGAACAGGACTCGGGTGAACTCCCGGCAAATCCTCTGCGGTGCGTGTGGAGTCAAACGACTGCATGCGAGGGGAAGTCTTTCTCTTGGAAGTGGCCTCTATCTAGCTGGATCTTCGTGTCTCTTGATCTGTGCTTCATGCACTTGAATAACAACCCATGTACTACCGGATGTTATCTTGCAAGGATCAAACACATGTCCAAAACACCATGGTCCCATGACTCTCCAAACAAATTGACGTTCGGGAGCATGTCTTAAGTCACATCTATGTGCCCCCCAAGAAAAAAAATCACGAGTCCCAAACTGTCATACATCCTCATACACCTTAGCCCGTCCTAGATCCTTGCCTTCAAGCTGATTCAAGCCAAAGGTGCTGCCAACACATCGCACAGCTCCATGTTTGGTACACCCTTCAAATGACAATCTTTGTTGAAGATGTGCATCCATCAGTGATGCCCCCCAAATCGAAGCCCTTCAAAGGACGAGCACATGACTCGACGGACGGACAGGGGTAGTTGTAACTTTGGGACTGTCTGGGACGGCTGTTTGTTGGTCCAAAGCTGCAATCGCTGCAATCCACAACGGTCTTCAAAAGAAACACCCCAACAGAATTCGCGCTCAGTTCTTCGACACTTTTCGTTCTGTGCACAGTTCGATGGTCAAACACCAAGTGAATCCGGAATGGCAACTGTTGGCGTGCTGGATGTTTGCTTCTCGCGAGTGCTACAGGCATTGAAGTCCCAATAACTGTATTATATATATATATATATAATATATCCACCCCCAAAAAACTAGTGCCAACCTAATGGCAAAATACACATATTCCCTCTTGTGTTCAGGAACGGGGACAGTCATTGGCCAACCTACTACTATGGCTCCAACCATGTCCTCAGGAGCTGGTTAGAACCCCCAACCCCAACCCAAAATTCTCAGGAGGTAGTTGGAGCCCTAGGGAACAAACATGACCACACAGATTTGGCACGCAGGTTGCGGCCGCCTTTTTCTACGCCACGGGCAGAACTATCAGTACTTTTGGGGCGCAAGATTGACCTTTGGCCACGTCTGCGCAACTCTACGTGTACGTGTACGTGAACTGGATGCTACTGGGTTGGAGACCTTCATGATGTTTAAAATAGGTTCATACCCATTGCCATATATAGATAGATCTACATATCAGGCATGTCCAAGTTGCTTTCGACCATGCAAATTCCGCGTGATCTAGTAGATGTGAGGTCATTGAAGGCAAATAGACCGTCTGCTTCCAAGACTGCTTCTCCCGGCACTCCAACCGCCGAGCCGACGGAGCCTGTCCGCCTCGGACCGGTCCGGGGGTGCAAGGAAGCGTTGAAACATGTGGATCCAGCTATTGTATCCATGTGGATCCAGCTATAGCTGGTCCAGCTATTTGTGGCGTTTGTGAAACGGACTGGTCACAAACCCGCAAGACTGGTCACAACAGTATGGATTCAGGACTGGGCGGCCATCGACAAGTATGGCGGCCTCAGATTTCTTAACTGGTTCAAAACCACCTTTTCTCCCCCCGCCTTTGGGTCAGAGGATGTCAGAGGCACTTGTCGCTGGAAAACCCCAACCATACCCACCCCCGGTACCCGCGCTTCGCTTCGCTTCCGCGCGGTCGCCGCGAAGAAGCGCGCGGTCCACGGCGCGACCCCTCGCCTCACGAGATGGCCAAGCGCATGTGCGGCGACTTGATGCGTCCCAAATTCACGAAGACGCAGCCTCGATCGGCTGCCAGCGCTCGGAAGACGGAATCCGTGGAGTGCGTGGGCTCGGCCCGACGAAGGCGAGACCAGGTGGGGCGTTCGGGGTTAGGGAAAGGAAAGGTCTGAGCACTTCTCCTGTATGACAGAACCGCCCCGTTGACAATTCTGTTCAGTCTTGAAGTTAACGATTTTGCAGGTCAAACACCAAGCGTCGCCTTTGCAAAAACTCTGGGAACCCTGCTTTGGATTTTGGGGACAGAAACTACTACATGGACCAGCGAGACACATATGTTCTCGTGAATTCTATATGCTTGAAGTGTGCTTTGAAGCGTTTGAAGAGCAAAAGGAATGAATCAGGAGAGGCAAAACAGCAAGGAACACCAAATGATCACGACAGAGATCCAAAGAAGGTTCGACATAAGATGACATAAGCTCTACGTGCATTTGTGTACTTTCGTGTCCACATATTCCGGAAAACCTAGAACATCACTGACTGACTCCTACATCTGTTCAGGGTCATCAGCATGGCCGATCTATGGCTATACGCTCTGATTCACTCACATGGAAGTGGCAAATGGTCGCTTGGACAACGACTCTCCTCTAAGAGAAAGGATGGAGAACCTCCACTTCCATCTTAGTGAGTCAGAGTGAGTCTTACATGGCAGCAGTAGATGGGTGAAAGCTGGGAAAAGCCGCGTGCATCATATCCCGTAACGTCCGTAGCAGCCTCATTCAGACCAGAAGCTGGGCGTCTGACTGCTCAACCGCTCGAAGGGGTTCCGTTGCTTCCAGGGCTCCTTCTTCGCATCGCGGGCAGCGCCGTCCATGAAGGAGAAGGCCTTCGCTGCGAGGTCCGGCCCACGACCCCATCCTCTTCAGCCAAACCGCACTCCACACGCCTACAAACACGTCTCCTACAGGCACGCTTTGGGCACTGAAGCTTCGTGTCGCACAGGTCCGACCCCCGAATGGACCTCAGTCCGGGGCTATGGCCGTGAACATGTGTTTCCCCACACTGGTGATGTTCACCACACATGTTTCACCGGCTTTCGGAAGCGCCGTGGTCTTCACCGACGGAGCCGGTTCCGGGTCTCCTTCTACGCCGGGTCTCCGAAGACCGCGGCCACGCGCAGACATTCCGTGTGTGCCTTGCGCCCGGAAAGCTCAGCGTGCTGCTCCTTGATGAACTTCAAAAGCTCCTCCCAAAGATTCTACTTAGTTTTTTCCCGCTCGAGACTTTCAACGAGTCTTTCTGGAAGCGCTGGAAGTTAGGCCCGGAATCCCCGAACTTCTGTTCGCCTGGACCCGGTGGTTTTTTGAGGAGCTTGCTTGCATGGGATCAACTCAGCAAAGCACAATGGTACTTGGAGGTAGATGATGGGATCAAATGCCGTTTCACTTGACCAATTCTGAATTTACCAT